CTTTTTGGGGCGCTGGGTGAAACAGCAAGGCCCTGATGCTGCTGATGCTGGGGCTTGCTCCCCTCTTTTTGGGGCACTGGGTGACAAAGAAAGGGCCTGATGGTGCTGATGCTGGGTCTTGTTCCCCTCTTTTCTCGGCTGCCTGTGCAGCAAAACACTGGCTTTGCAACAGGCTTGGTCGGCCATTCCGCGACAAAAGCTTGTGACAGAAATGCCTGGCATGCTAAACGCACTTGTGCGAGACGTTTTTTTCTGGGGCGAGTCCGTACCAAGCACGTGCGGCAAAGGTATGTAACAGCAGGCCGCGATGAGGCGATGAGAGGGCTTTTTGATCCAGAGCCGGCTCTGGGTGAAACGGAGATGAACTGATGCTGCAGGTGCCGAGGTTTGCTCCTGTCTGTTTGGGGCTTTGGGTGAAACGGGCGCGTCCTCATGCTGCGGATGCTCGGGTTTGCTCCCTTTTTTTGATGCCTGGTATCACGGAGACGCCCTGGTGCTGCCGGTGCTGGGGTGTGCTTCTCTTTTATTGGGGCTCTGGGGCTCTGGGGCTCCCAGTCTGGGACGTTGGGTGAAACGGAGGAACCTGATGCTGTTGATGCTGAGGCTTGCTCCCCTCTCTGCGGGCCTTGGGCTGACATGGAGACGCACTGCTGCTGCTGCTGCTGTTGCTGCGGCTTTCCCTACTTTACTAGACGCTTTGGGTGACACTGGCGGGAGGAGCCGTGATGCTGTTGGTCTTTTTCAAAGCTGCGAATGCAACGTAGAAGCCCTCATGGCTTTTGTTTTTTTGGCGGTGCTGTTCCTGGAGGAGCGCTGATGCTGCTGAAGCTGTGGTTTTCGCATCTCCTTTTTGCTTTCTTCGCAATGCTTGCATCCTTGGCGTGACTATTCTACAGTACTTTGCTTGACTGCCTCCAGAAGTATGCTGCGTACAGCGGGTCCCACTTGCGTCAACATGCTAAATGCAACTTGTTTGAATCATGGCTTGCAGTGTTGTGACGGCACTCTGATGCCACTATTCTTGTCTCAAGATAACGGCTATACCATCCCCACCAGGGACCCTCATAATCCCAGTATATTCTGTAGATATATATATATACATATACAGAGAATCAACAGAGAACTACATTAATATGAGTGTATTCATTATTCTCATTGCTGTCAGTTTTTTGTTGGCCTGCAGGTGGTCCTTCCTCAGGGCTCCGGTGGCGGCTGGCGGAGCAGCCAGCGATACGAGCTGCGCTTCGTACGGCCAAGCCCTGAGGGTTCTTTGTGGACCCTAGGCTCATTCATGGGTTGGGGAACTTACTTATAAAGGGTTACAATAGAGGCTTATCATGGATGTTTTGGTGGAGATAGTATCTTACCTGTCACGAGGGTCCCTCAGAGCAGGGAAGGGCTGTTTATGGTGCTATTCTGAAGGGGAAGATGATACCGTGGTTGGGTTTCAGGTGCGGGGTGTAGGCAGAGTAGGGTAGTCATGAATCAAGTCCTGCGCCTGCAACAGGACTATTCTCAAGACGCTTGTTGGCGCCTGTTGTGGTAATGATTAATGTTTACTTTGATATTTCGGGGGCTGGTTCGGAAGGTGGTCCTTATATAATTAGATGTTGTAGGGAACGGTGTGGGGTCTTATGGCTTCTAATTTTGATTACGAGTTGTAGTACGTAGTCCTCGCGATGAGATCCCGATTTCGTGAGGTGATTATGCAGTTGATTACAGCAGTTTACGGGTTCAGTTGCAAAGTTGGCGTTTCATGTTTGAAGGGTAGGGGCAGTACACGACAAAAATCGAGAGCAGTCCCAGAGGAAGACCTGCGACGTCGTTGTGACGTTGGCTCAAGCTTTTAACTTCAAAGCACGGTGATTAAGGGTGACAAACATGTGCTGCCACGCAACAGATGGAGCCTCTCAGGCAAGACTGATGAAAGAGCATGCGTGGATGACAGGGCACTTCGTGAAACATGGCATTGCTGAAGTAAGTATCGATCTAGGGGGCACATTTCGATAATTGATCCTAAATCTGCCAGCCCCACCCCTTTCGGTACAAAAAAAAGTTCGATACCAGCCCATCCAGCCTGCAACCTCATATCCCCCTTAGAAGCCTGGTTGAAGATGCTGTGACCATAGGTGCCATCCTGTTCTCACAGTTGCCATACAACCCATACCCCACACGTAGAGTGGAACATGGCCTCGATCTTCGCGAGCAGCTAGGATTAGCGTGATTACAGTGGTAAAGGTTCTCATATAGACTCTGTGCCAGCAATTGCAATTGTAATAGAAGTAGTGGGTATTATGGCAATAGCGCTAGCCACAGCAATAGCATACTGCTTGGAGCCTCGTGCCTTTGATGGAAGTAGCCTGGAAGCGGTCGGATGGCAATCAGGCTGCAGTGGAATGGGTTGGTGGGGATTTCTCAGGCATGAGGCCAGGCTCTGATAGGTTTTTTGGCGGGGAGGGATTTAGGGTTTGGGGCGTCTAAGTGTACACCATGGTCTTATAGGAAGCTGCTTTATATACATGTTCCCCAGAAGAGGTCTGAAAAACATATTGTGTTCTCAGGTGAATGTCCGGGGATGAAGAAAACCCCTCTGGGATGATTATGAGGCGGCGCGTGTGTGGTTCAAAGGTGTAGTATGTTCAAGTTTTACACCCGAAACTACCGACAGGTTTGCTTGGGTCTCACAGCGTGCTGGGAACTGCAGATAGAGCAGTTTGGGGCACCTGTCAGCAGAGGCTGCGGCTTCTGAGGCATATTTAGTTGGTGGCGGGCGCGACAGTCGCCCTGTGGTTGTGCAGGTTTTAAAGCCTGATCACGTGGTTTTTACAGGGTTTTCAGCCTCTTGAGGGTTCTACCGCGAGCTTCGCCTGCATGTTCACCGTACTGCTGCTGCGGGGAGGGGGGGAAGGGGGGGGATAGTTTCATTCTTTTCTCATGCCTGAACCTTATTTCCCTTCGTGTTCCAAGAGC